GTAGTCTGCAGTCCGCAGTCCGCAGTCCGCAGTCCGCAGTCCGCAGTCCGCAGTCCGCAGTCCGCAGTCCGCAGTCCGCAGTCCGCAGTCCGCAGTGCATGTTTTATACTGACCGTGTAAATCGACACCAACCATGTTTGTTCCGTCAGTACGCGAGACGACGTGCTCTAGTACCAAAACTAGGACAATTATTTTCTTTCCGAACACGACTTTGAATCGCCTTGACTTTGGGGTAACAGCTACAGGGCATTTTCACTTCCGAAACAATGAAACGGAGGACATGTTGCCGTACCAAAGCAACCCTGTAGGAGTTGAACTCTTTTCCTATGTAAACACTTTCGTTTGGTTTATGTTACATAGTTTGTGCACAGAAATCTAGGCCAGCGAAGTGAAACTCATTCCTCCTTTGATTTATCCAGCAGAAAGTAGCGTTGGTTTTGGTCGAAGAGAAGGGGGTACACAACACGCGGCCAAGCTACAGCTTTCTGTTCGTACGAAAAGTCGTAAACATTTCGTAAGACATGTCTGCAAGGTTTTTAAATGCCATTAAACCCAAATCAAGCTTTAAATAAACAACTTATCCACTACAGTCTTAAATAAGCTGCCTCGAAAAGTCGTACACACTTCGTGACGACATGTCTACAAGGTCTTTAAATGCCATAAACACTGACTTCGAACTTTAAATAAACAACCTCAGTATCCGCTACAGTCGACAATAAGCTTCCCCGACACTCGCAAGTCTGCAATAATGCGCAACACTCGAAAGAAAGCACATGGACGAACATGGACATGACGTCATTCGCCCCTAAAGAATTTTTTTCTTTTGGGGGGGGGAGGGGAACTGGTGTCCCCAGATAGATAGATAGATACACAGGTGTCGAATTTTTATGCATTACGCGATTAGAACTGCGTTCTGTCGAACGCAATAATAATAATAATTACTTTCTTCTTCATCGATTCGTTTACCTCCAACAAGCAGCGTAACGCATCGCTGTTCAGTTGTTATCCTGAAAGTAACGTGATTTAAATTGATTAACAAAACCAGCAGTTCAACAAATAAACTTAATAAAAATTGACATTTATATATTTGCGACTGAACCATCAACTATTATGTTCCATTTACTACTCGGATAAAATATGAATTTCTTTCTATTCCATTGCGAGTCCCACCTACATGGAAAATTGCTTTGAATTACAATGCAATAGTAACCAAAAACAATTTGATAGGAACAAACAAGCCCTTGAAGTGTATCTATTGCCAACTGAAAGGGTGCATTTTACTAAATTGAAAACATCTCTTTGGAAATATTGTAACTGGGCGCGGCCTTAATCACGATTTTCTGTTTAACAATGGGATTTTTGCAACAAATGGTCAAATCGGTATTTTAAAATCTGCCAGACGGCAAGCTACGTTCTGTAACAACGTCAAACAAAACAAAGAAAACTCCAGATTGACTGGTTGACTGAGTGAGTTGTTTTGGAGGCTACTGCATTCGAATCCTTTACCGTCCAGCGTGGCAGATGTTGTACCTGGTAACTGTTTGCTGCAAACACCCCTTGTTAGCCATAATTCGAGTTTCAGGCTACGGGTGAATATATATAGTCAACAAAGCTATGACCAAAATTAGTCTTAGAAGACATTTAACTTAAAATCATTTTACCAAGTGTTACTTATGCAATGTCAATGTGGGGAAAATTCTCTCACTCTTTGCTTCATAGTTTAGAGCAAACCCATGTTCATGCGTGCCGTATAATTAACCACTTACCTTCTAAAGTTTTGATGACAGTATGTCTTTTAAAGTTTAACTGGCTTACTATTGACTACTTACATAACAGAAGAATTTTACCTTAATACATGAAATTTTCACGACACGTTAATTTCGCGATTTAAAAAAATCGCAAAATTAAAGTGACGCGAACAATAAGTGTCGCGAACATAACATGAAGCGAAAAGTAAGTGACTCACATTATGCTACTGTTAACATCGAAGTTGCATTTTTGTTAATTTTGAAGTTATTCTACCTTTGATAAAGTCGGTTTACTAGATTCAAGGACATGTTCAAGTAACATTGCCAAGTAAGTAAATTGTGTGTTACTCGAAAACGCGAAGTTAAAGTGATTCAAAGTACAAAATTTTCGCAGAATCGCGGAATTTAAGTGTCGCGAAATATGCGCTCCTCAAAATCGCGTATTAAACTTGTCGCGAAAATTTCATGTATTAAGGTAGTCAAAATGTAACAGGTCTGTAAAGAATCTGCTCCTAATCAAATTTCGGGGCTATTTTCTGTATCATCTAGATCAACAAGATTTTGTATAATCAATTTAATATAATTAGAGTTAAACCAGAACTGGGAACTTCTTTTCAATACTGAGGGCTCCCGTAATTATTTAACTTCATTAACAAGAGAGTTAAATTTACCAACGTTTACAAACATTTTTTCAAGTCGATCGATCTTAAGAAAGCAAGCAAAAGACATTTCGCTCTACTTTTCTTTTAACAAGGAAACAACCGTGATTTCTAATAAAAAAGAAAATTTTATTTAACAAATAAAGAAGCCTCGACTGTGCTCTGTTCTGTTGTAAAGCACGCAGGAAGCGGTAGAG